TAAATTTTATTTCTATTTATTTATTTATTTATTTATTTATTTATTTATTTATTTGGTTTTTCAAGACAGGGTTTCTCTGTGTTGTTTTGGTGCCTGTCCTGAATCTCACTCTGTAGACTAGGCTGACCTCGAACTCACAGTGATCCACCTGGCTCTGCCTCCCAAATGATGGGATTAAAGGCGAATGCACTGCCGGCTTAAATTTTATTTAAAAAAAAAAAAAAAGACCAGGTTATGATAGTGAATGCCTTTAACCCCAGCACTTGGGGTTGTGAGTTCAAGGCCAGCCTGGTCTACAGAGCAAGTTCCAAGACAGCCAGGGCTACACAGAGAAACCCTGTCTCAAAAAACAAACAAAAAGACACAGGCCAAACATCTCATTTACTCCTGACTTCTGTATTCTGTTTCCTAAAGTAGCAGTCAAATAAAAACGCCCAGGGAGAGGCCTGGTTTTCTGCCAGGAAAACCACGAAGCTCTCTTCCCTCGCCTCCTGTGTGTAGATTACAGGCTCTAGACTGTGTCAGCCCAGGCTCCTGTGGAGAGTGCCATGTATGGAGGAGCTAAGATCCTGGGCATGAAGTCAGCTTGCAGAAACACAGAGGGCATCTGAGAGAAGTCACATCTGAATAGCAAAGGGCTGGTCGTCTGCATCTCTGAGGCAAATGTACTTTCTGGTAGAAATGTAGTCAATAACAGACTTTGCTGTTTGCTGTGAGAAAATCATGCCTGGGATACTCTCCCACGAGGAAGCTGTTCGTAAACACTTGCTGGTCCTCATTCTCATTTGAGATTTGGGGGAAATAGACACAATAAGAGCTACTTTTGAGCCAGGACCTCATGGGGCCTGGGAATCTGGGGACAGGAAGGTCCTGGCTAGGGCACTGGGAGGCCATCCTGGGGTATCTAGCCACAGGGAGCCCTAAAGGCAGGTACACATTTACACACACACACACACACACACACACACACACACACACACACACACACGCGCGCGCACGTGTGCATGTATGTAAGCTGAGAATGACTTTAAGCATCTCGTGGACACTGTCCACTCCCTAGCTCAAGAGGGATGACCTTCCAACACCTCAGACTCCATACACAAGGCCAGTGTCTCCTACTCCGGACAGTGGGAATGAGACCATGGCTCATCTCTTGTTCCTACTGAAGACACCTGCTTTGCTCAGCAACATACTTAGATATGCAGCATAAATCACACAGGAGGAATTGAGCAGTGTTTCCCAAGTGCTGGAACTCACAGGCTCTGTCCATCTGGCTCATAGACTTCAGACCAAAGAAAGCTTTATGGAAACTGGCTTGCTGGCTGGGTGTAGTGATGCATGACTTTGATCCCAGGGCTAGAGAGGCAGAAGCAGGTGGATCTCTATGTTTAAGGCCAGCCTGGTCTCCATAATGAGTTCCAGGCCAGCCAGGGCTACATAGTAAAACCCTGTCTCCAAACACAAAGTCAACAACAACAAAAACTACCATGGTTGAAGAGATCTAAGGCTTAAGGGTTATTTACTATTATTGTTTAGCTAAATTGCCATGGTGCCAAGATGCCTTTTAAATATTTATGTTTATAACCATATAGACAAATGCTGCTCACAGCCTTTAGAGAAGTGTGTGTGTGAGTGTGTGTGTGAGTGTGTGTGTGTGTGTGTGTGTGTGTGTGTGTACATGCACCACAGCAATGGGGGACGTCAGAGGACAGCTGGGTCAGCCAGCTCCCTTCCACCATGGGAATCCCAGGGATTGAACTCAGGTCACAGACTGGACAGCAAGTGTCTTCCTTGCCCAATCATCTCACCAGCCACCACCACCCACTTTTTTTCTTTCTTTTTTAATTAAAAGCAAATTGGACACAGCCTAGAATAACCCGTGATGTTGAGAGGAATGCCAAGTTTCTGTGCAATAAGATTTGATTTTGCTGAAAAATTGCCTCTCTGCCTTTTATGATGAATCTGTCTGCTGGGGCATTCTACTAAACCAACACAGGGGTCCAGGCATCAAGGAGGAGCAGGGCTCTTGCTCTGTGTGTGTGTGTGTGTGTGTGTGTGTGTGTGTGTGTGTGTGTGCGCGCGCTCAACAATGGTGTCTTTTCAGGGGACTTGGTTTGGTACAGGCCGTTCGCTCCTCATCATTTGGCAGTGGGCCAGTATCCCCCCTGCATTTGGCGGCCTGAGCTTCTGCAAATAGGACTTCGGCTCTGAGTGGTTGTGAAGCTGCTTTGGAGAGCAGTTTGGGGTGTAAGCTACTTCAGATTTTTCTCCTTCCCCATGCCAGAACAATTTACTCTTTCATCCATTCAAAGATGCCTCTGTGAGCCAGACATGAGGATAAATATCTGTAATCCCAGCAATTTAGGAGATTATGAATTCTAGGCCAGCATGGGCAACATAGCAAGACCTTGCCTCTAAAATAAATAAATAAATAAATAATTTTTTTTAAAATACCTGCATTAGGTCTTCTTATCCTATCCTACAAATTCAATGCCTGGATTCCTTCTTGCAAGCAGTCCATTGCCAGTGTCTTAGCTTTTTCTGCATAGTTAATAACTCTCTTCCCAAAACCATACTGACCCAATCAATCATCAGGGGGCTGGTAAGATGGCTCAGTGGTTAAAAGCACCGGCTGCTCTTCCAGAGAACCCAAGTTCAATTCCCAGGACCCACGTGGTACTTCACAGCCATCTGTAACTCCAGTTTGAGGGGTTCCAATTCCCTCTTTTGGCTTCTGTTAGCAAGTACACACATGGCGCGCGCGCACGCGCACACACACACACACACACACACACACACACACACACCACATCGGCAAAACACCCATATATATAAAGAAAATTTAATAAGAAGCAATAATCGTCTAGAGCCAGGTGAAGTGTCTGGTGATTACAATCTCAGCACTAAAGGTGGTGAGGTAAAAGGCTCTGGGGAGAAGTTTAAGGTCATACTCAGCTTCTTGCTGAGTTTAAGACCAACCTGGGGTACATAATGCCCTGGGGAGGCAGAGACAGGTGAACCTCTGAGTTCAAGGCTAGCCTAGTCTACTGAGTTCCAGCCAGGGCTACATAGAGACCCCATCTTTAAAAGACAGAAAGAGGGGAGGGAGAGGGGGAACACATCCATTGGGAATCTTTCCATGGAGGACCGTCAGTAAATTTAGATCCAGGTGAACCTAACCACTTTATTCCTGAGGCCCAAGATGTCGCCGAGGCCTTTGTAAATCTCGACCTGAATTCAGGACAACTGATAAGTTTCACATTAAGTTTTAGAGAAAAGTTTTGTCATTTGTCTTGTGTGTTGTATCTTAAAGTACAGTTTGTTAATGAAAACCTGCTGTTTATTTAGCATGATGAGTGAGACCTCACATCCAAAAGCTTTTGAACCTCAGCATGATAGATTTCAAGACAGATAGTTGACCTTCACTCAAGTTCGCTGAATGGAGGAGTTGGGTCAAAGGGACCTGAAATGAGGACATGACAAGGAGCAAGCCCGGGTTCTGGGCCCGGGTTCTGGTCCTTGCCTTTCACTTTGAGACAGTCTCATTGTTTTCCTACCGAATCCACGGGACCAGGTGGCCTGTGAGCTTTGGACATCCCATCTGTCTCTCCTTGTAGGAGCACTGGGATGTCACAGGCTGACGATCCTCACCCGGGTTTCAAGGGGGTTCTGGGGATTTGAACTCACATCCTCATGCTTCATGGCAAGCACATCTGCCCACAGACCCACCTCCCCAGCTCTTTCTACCCTGTTTTGTATAGAGACAGAGTCTCTCATGGTATCTTAAGTTCTGCTTTTGGCTAGTCTAGCTGGACAGCAAATCTTGGGGAACCTTCCTGTCCCCAACTCTCAGCACTGGGGTTAGACATGTGTGGCCCTGACCCATTTTTAAATTTTATTTATTCAATATTTTTACATTTTATTAATTTATAGTGTGTGTGTGTGTGTGTGTGTGTGTGTGTTTGAGACAGAGTCCCATATATCCCAGACTGGCCTTAAACTCCTTCTGTAGCTCAGAATGACCTTGAGTTTCTGGTCCTCCTGCCTCCACCTCTTGAGTGCTGGGACAACTGGTATGCATGGCCACGTCCAGTTTATGTGGTGCTGGGGATCAAACCCAGGCCCTTGTGCATTGTACTGGTCACTGTTTGTACTTGGCTTGATAGAACTTTGAGTCACCTGGGAAGAGGAAATTGCCTTGATCAGGTTGGCCTATGGGCATGTTGTGGGTCATTGTCTTGATTGATGGATATTTAGGAGGGCCCAGCCCATTGTGAACCTGGGCTGTATAAGAAAGCTGAACTCAGGAGACAGACAGGTAAATCTGAGTTCAAAGCAAGCCTAGTTGGTTGAGTTCCAGGTCAGCAGGGCTGCATAGTGAGTCCCTGTCTCGGAGAGGGAGGGGAAGTTAGCTGAGCATGGCCCTAAGAGCATGCTGGGAAGCAGTGTTCTTCCATGGTTTCTGCTTCAGTTCCTGCCCTGATTTCCTGCAGTGACGCACTGTGACTCAGAAGTATGAGCTGACCAAGTTACATTTAGTCAAGGTATTTATCACAGCAGCCTCAAACAAACTAGACTGTGAGTGCTAGCCAGCACATTCCCAACTGAGCCACCCCACCTCCAGGTCCCCCCACATACACACTTTTGAGACAGGGTCTCACTACATGGCTTAGCCTCAAACTCATGGCCCTCCTGCCTCATTATTACAAATGTTGGAAATACTGGCGTGTACTACCACACCTTAAAACCACTAGTTCCTGAAAATTATTTTAAAATGTTTTCTAGTATATACAAATATGCTTGATTTTTTTTTTATATTTCATAGAGCCCCAATGCCTATGACAAGCTCATAGTTTAGTTACAGTTGCCTGCCTTTGCGTTCTTCAGGGGTGACGCAATATTGTTTATTCTCTCCAGTCTCCGTGTTCTGCTCCCCTCCAGGTTTTCTACATTAACTCCAGGTCTTTAGATCTAATGAGGTCTCTCCTCTCTCCCTTCAGATGAGGCCGAGGCCCATATTGACTATGAAGACAATTTCCCTGATGACAGATCCGTGTCATTCAGGGAACTCATGGAGGATTCCCGGGCAGAGGGAGAAGAGGAAAAGGCTCAGGAGGATGCCTCTGAGGAGACACCAAAACAAGACCATCTGGTCCTCACTTCTGTGTCTAAAGAGAACATAGCCCAGGAAAATGCCTTTGTGCCTACCACAGGCTTGCCCGGCCCTGGGAGCAGGGTCCACACAGACTGGCCCAGATCCCGCCTCAACAGGAAATACTCACTCTGGTTTCCTGCTGAGACTTTCCACAAGCCAGAGCTGGAAAAGGAAGTGGGGGATGAGACCAAAGATCCACTTCCTGCTGGAGACAATCACAGTGAAGGAAAACTGGTCCCAGGGGAGTCTGAAACCAGGCTGGTCTATGCCGCCACCTACAGCCCCTCAGAGCCGTTTGTGGATAGGAATGACAGCAAGGCAGAGGACCCGGTGGTGAGCAGCAGTGACGATTCCTGGTTAGATGGCTACCCTGTGACAGATGGGGCCTGGAGGAAGGTGGAGGCAGAGCGGGAGCATGATGGGTCAGTGGGACTGGATGAAAGTGTTCTCATAACCCCCGATCAGCCCACCGGGAAAGTTAAGGAGCAGAAGAATTCCACCACCGCACCTAGCAAGTCTGTGGGAGACAGTTCAGTTGTTCCTTCTCAAATGCTCAATGTAGAGGCTCTGGTTCCCGGACCCATGGATATGTCTGAGACTGAGGGTCCCTACACCAGGGATGGTGATTTGACTAAGTATCAGTCAACTGTACCCCGCAGAATCACCACGGAGCGGTCACCTACGGCCACCTTACCCTATGAACTTACCACCTCCACCGGAGAGACAGTACCAACAACTCTGCGGCAGACACTTGAACTCATCCCCTCGACTAGTGTGGAGGCCACCCAGCCTCCAGCGGAGGCCACCCAGCCTCCAGCGGAGGCCACCCAGCCTCCAGCGGAGGTCACAGCTCCTGAGATTCAGGACAGCTTCCCATACCTGTTGTCTGAGGACTTCTTGGGACAGGAGGGCGCTGGGCCTGGTGCAGGCGAGGAGAAACTCCCAACCTTGGCACCATGTGTGGGGAATGAGTGCCCCAGCTTAAGGAGAGGCCCAGTGATCGCCATCATTGTCACTGTCCTGTGCCTGCTGCTGCTCCTGGCAGTCGTGGGAGCTGTCTGGGGTTACCGCAGGTGCCAGCACAAGAGCTCTGTGTACAAGCTGAATGTCGGACAGCGGCAGGCTAGACACTACCACCAGCAGATTGAGATGGAGAAGGTCTAGCCTCTGTCAGCATGGGCTCTCACAAGGCCACGTGGAGGAAGATTAACTGTGACCCATCACACTGATTATTCTCAGGATCGGAGGTGGAAAGGGTTCACCCTCTGAAGTTCAAGTCTTTCTTCTATCTGCTAAGAAGTGTCTCTGGAGGCATGTGGAGGGCAGAAAGGGTCTGGTGGAGTCACCACACATGCCAAGGCCTTCTCAACCACGTGCTCTGGAATTCATCGCCCAAATCACAGACCTCTGCTTTGGCTCTATTCCAATATAAGGGTGGATTGTTGTTGGAATCACCTTTTATCTTACCACACTAATGTCTTTTCATCTTTAGAGAGAGAGAGAGAGAGAGAGAGAGAGAGAGAGAGAGAGAGAGAGAGAGAGAATCACAGACTCCGGGCCCTGAAATGTATGAAATAGTTTTGATAAACCATGTGTTTAAGGCCACGTTAGGAAACAAATGTCCAGTTGTGGAACGGGACGGGGAAGGGTCATGCTGTTTCCTGTTAGTGTGATGTTGCTGAGGACAAATGAGTCAGGAGCCGGAATGTACTTCATAAACTTTGGTGTTTCTTTTTTTGTTTGTGGAAATTGGAGAGAATTTAAGACTGCCATTTTGCCTCGGGGTATGAGGAGCGAACAGGTACGTGCCCACCCTTGGTCCCGCGGTTGTGGGACAGCCCATTGTTTTCCTTTAAGAACAATGTGAACTTGGTGCCAATGAGGATGACATTCGGTGTCCTTGTCTGGTCTGTGCCTACAAATGCCTTGGGATTGCTACCAGGGCTGATGACAATACCCAACTCTTAGTCTCCTCTCTCAGGATTAACTGTTTCTCTGAACTCCAGTAAAAGGGATGATGTGGACGGGAAAGAATCTTGGAAGAAGCTCAAAGACTGATATATCAAGTATGGGTGCCTGTTCGATGGAGGAGGAATGAAAATGGACATGGGTTGCCCTGGGTTGATCTGTCCCAGCCATTTCCACCAAGTGGCATCTCAACGGCTGTCATTTCTAGAAGGATGGTCCTCAGATCAGCGGCCCATCACAGGGGGATTTGGTGAAGATGTAAATCCTTTAGTCTCATCCCAGATTCAGCAAGCCAAATGCCTGGGGCTGGGCTGGCTCTGAGCTCAAACCATGGCTCTGATGTACATTCATACTAAGAGCCATTGGCTTCTGTCATCTGTGGTGATCTTGGAACCCAGGAAGCCTGGAGACAGGGAGGTGAGTACCTCATGTACTGTCTAGCTTGACCTCAGCATCTCGACAGCAGCGTGTGAAGTGTCACTTCCGGCTGTCTCCAGGGTATTAGCCCAGAAGTCAGCACACCATGCTTTTCTATCTGAATTCCTTCCTGAAGGCGTGAAAGTGATGGAGGCTATATATTTATTCTGAGGCACCATGGGAGTGTCTACTTTTGTATGGCACAGGAAATCCTGGTACATGTCTTTATTGGTGGTGGCTTTACTGTTGAAAAGCAGGTGACAGGGAATGTGGCTTAGTGGCAATGACTGTCTGGCAGGTGTGAGGCCCTGGGTTCAAACTCTGGTACCACCAGAACAAAAACATTGGTGATGGTATTTTACCAAAGGAAGAAAAAAGATCTCATGATATATCTTCTGCGCTGTCACGTGTTTGATGTGAGCTTTGGAAAACGACAATATAACACCATACAAAATCCCAACGACCGTAATGGCCGTTGAAGGCCTGAGGGAGCCTGCTAGAATAGCTCCGCTTCAGAGGAAATGGAGAGGAGGGAGAAGATGCTTTCTGTACGTAGCCAAAGAAGAACTCGATGGAGTAAACCCAGAGACTGTATATTTTTAAATTAGAGTCTAATCTCTTGTGAGGTAGCGTTTCTATTTTTATTCCTAGTTATGTAAAATAGCCTCTGACTCCACATGGGGGTTCTGTCAGTAACTAAAATTAACCCGGAACACTGAATTTATATCAACACATGAGTAGATGGCATTAATACAAGTGAATTAATAAGTTTATTGTAAATTATTAACACATCAATGCATTCTTTTGTAGACATGGACTGTAAAGTAAGCTCAGTGCATCAGCTCGTAAATTTCAATGATCTGTTGTCATCTAAATAAGATGAAAGAACATGAGCCTGCATGTCGGGAGGACACGTGTAGCTAGCTCACTAGGAACCCAAGCTGCCACTGCCAATGCTTGGAGAATGGGGAGGGAAAGGGTTTCCTTAATATAAAGCTTTTGATATATTTAAAATAAACAGTTATTTCCCACAAACACTTAATCATGTATTTCATTTCTACATTATTGCACCTTTTTAAAAATTGTATGAATGTATATGGTGTGTATGAACAAATTCATGTGTGTGTGTGTGTGTTTCTGTGTGTGAGTGTCTGTATGTGAGTGTGTATTTCTGTGTGTGAGTGTCTGTATGTGGGTGTGTCTATATCTGTGTGTGTGTGTGTGTGTGTGTGTGTGTGTGTGTGTGTGTCTGTGTGTCTGTGTGGTAACTGTGTGTGTACGTCAGAGGGCCACATTGTTTGAGACAGTCCTGTTGTTCACTCTGCATAGCCAGACTAGCTGGCCTGAGAGCTACCAGGGATGCGTCTCTGACTCACATCTGTCAGCAGGAGCAAAGGGGTCACAGATGTGTGCTCCTGGGCCTGGCTTTAAGTGGGTGGGTTCTGGAGGTCAACCCCGGGTCTCCACTCATGCTGTAAGTGCTCACCCACTGAGCCATCTCCCCTGCCCGACCGTGACTTCTTTTAAGATCTCCCTGGTAATCGTGCAAACAGTGTCTTAGTGCTGATGGCGACTCTCTGACCCCCGACCTCAGCTGTGCCATCTCCTTCTGCAGGACTGTGGGGAGGAGGGGTGCAGGGCTCCTCCTCCTCTCCTTCTTCTCCACTCCTTCCATCTTCCTCATGCCAACCACAGAGGGACTTGGAGAACATGCTAGAAATATAGAATTCGGGCCTTCTCTAGATGTGCTGACCTAGAACCTCACTGAGCAAGGTGTCTGGTGATGAGTGTGCATGGTAAGGTCTGAGAGAACACAGCCAATGACCCCTCTCAACAGGTA